ATGTACAGGATGAATTGGAAATAATCCACAGAGGGAAGGCATCAGAATGAAGAACAATTTAGGAAAGGCTTCCTATATCTGGTGTAATATTAGCTGGGACTTGAAGGCAGTCAGGGAAGTCAAGAGACAGAGATGAGGAGGGAGAGCATTCTAGGCATGTGGAACAGCCAGAGAAAATGGACGGAATCAAGGAGTAGAGTGGTTTATTTCAGGAAGAGTAAGAAGAGCAGAGTTACTGGATTGCAGAGCATATTGGGGTCTGAGGAGGTACAAGGTATAGGAATACTATAGAAGGGTGCGTGTGTGTGTGTGTGTGTGTGTGTGTGTGTGTGTGTGTGTGTGTGTGGCAGGTTATCAAGGGCTTTGAATGCCAAATAAAGGCTTTCATATTTGATCTTGGAGGTGATGGGGAGCCATTGGAATTTATTGAATGTGGGGAGGGGCACCATAGTCAGACCTGTACTTTGGGAAGATTGCTTTGACAGCTGAATGGAGAATTGAGTGGAACAGGTAGAGAGACAAACTGGCAGATTATTGTAATCATCCAGGTGTGAGGTGAAAGAGTCTTTACCAGGGTGGCAATAGTGTCAAAGGAGAAAAGGGAGCATAGACAAGAGATGTCATGAAGATAAAATTGACAGTTCTTGGTAATGATTAGATATGAGAGAGATAGTAAGGGGTCAAGAATGACACATAGGTTGTGATTCTGGGTGACTGGGACAATGGTAGTGTCCTTGATAATAATAAGAAACTTTGGAAGGGGGGGGAGGGTTCTATGGTAAAGATAGTCCAATTTTGGGTATGTTGAGTTTAAGATATATATAAGATATCCAATTTAAGATGTCCAATGAGTTCTTGGAGAGGTTAGGGCTGAATAAATTCATTTGAGAATCATAGGCATAGAGATAATAATTGAATCTATGGTGGCTGATGAGATCACCAAGTGAAATAGTATCTATAGAGAAAAGAACAAGGCCCAGGGCAGAGCTCAGAACGCCCATGGTTAGTGGGTGTGACCTGGATGAAGATCTAGCAAAGAAGTGGTCAAATAGAGAGGACAAGAACTAGGAGAGAGCAGCATCATAAAAACCTATAGGGCAGAAAGTACCAAGGAGAAGTTGTCACATCATTTTCAAAAAATAGCCAAGTAACTTGCAAAATTTGGACGTTCTTGGTGGTGGGGAATAGGATAATAGAGAGAAGGCAGGAATAGGTTGCAGTCTTCATCATTGTCAGGAATATTCACAATTTTGGGAATCAGATTTTTTAAAGCACTTGTGTTGAACTCAAATAGAAATGGATCCCTTCCAGTGACCACATATTGACTTAGAAAACTACAAATTGACATCATCTATATTGTATTGTATTTTTATTTGTTTTGTTAAACATTCCCCAATTACACTTTAATCTGGTTTTTGGCTGCAAGTTTGACACCTCTTCTTTAAAGTTTGAAAGTAGAAGGGTAAATTCAATTTCTTCTATAGTTTTGAGTTCTAACTTTAGTGGAGATTTCATTGGTATATGGAACTCTCAGTAAGAAAATTTCCTCTGCTAATACATAGTCACTTGTTCTGGAACAGTTGCCTAGCTAGCAAGTGTCAGAGATGGGGCTTAAGCCTCAATTTCCTTGATTCTGAGTTCAATTCTCTCTAGCTACTGTTTCTTTTTGCCTCTCACCTTCTGAACTTAATTAAGTTGGTTAAAACTTAGAGCTGTCATTTTCCGATTCTGTTTTCCTTGTCCTGTATTCCCCTGACTACTTGTGCTTCTCAGTATACAATGTATTTGATTATATTTATGTATGTATTCGTATACACACATACATATACACACACATATGAAAGTGCCTTACTTAATTTCTCAACCTCCATAATGCATTCACGTGAGCCGTGAAATTTAATATATAGCTGTATTGGGATATACGTCCTCCTACTTACGAAAATTATTCATTCCTGAGGTGGAGGAGGATTGTTTTGAGCTTCACTGTAGATGATGAACTTACTGACAAACAAACTCAACCACCACTTTTTTCCTGTCAAATTTGATCAAACAAAATCAATTTGGTTACTACTATATTCTGAATTTTAAACAACTAGAACTTTCTAAAGCCAGATGTGGAAGAAGGCCAGAGTAGCAAGGGCTCTTAAGAAAGGACATTTTTGTGTAGTCTCCTCACACTTACCTAAAAATGGTTTGGAGACAAGGAGAGTACAGAGAAATCTTCACACATCCCATTGTGATTTTGCAGGGCATGATGGCTCAGAGAAAGTGATTCTCAGACCCTTAAACGTAGTTTTTGATTGATTCCCTCATGCTCAAAAATCATTTTGTAAGCATCTGTACGAGGCTTTATGCAGAAAGTTGGTGTAATCAGCACCTGCTTTCTTGGAAACTGCCATTGGAGATGAGATAGCACTGATCTAGATAAAGTGATGTTGACTTATTCAGCCATAGTGTGTAGACATGTCCTTGCCTTTTCATGATACACTTTTGCCTGCTTTAAGGCAGACAGTAAAACCCTCAACCTATCATGCCACTTGAAGGGTTTTTCAATGGAATACATTTTACCCTCAGGGGTACATGGGTTATCTTTGTCACTGAAATGCTGCCTTTAACATGGATATCTCTTTTGTGCCCTGTTAGCAGCATTACAATGAAGCTTTCCATACTTAACTGCCAAGGCACTTGGCAATGTAACAAAAAAGAAGAAACAAGAGCACACTAAAGAAACATCAATCATTAGGGCAGGAAGGTACCCAAAAAATCATCTAATCCAGTCCTCTTATCCCTCATTGTACAAATTAAAACTCTGAAGTCCAGAGAGGGAAATTCCCTATCAAAGATCAGAAAACTTATAAAAATGCCTTTTGGTTAAACAATTGTATTTATTTATATTGTTTTAAAATAAATGTTGTGGTAATACCTTATTTTTGCTTTGTGATTAATTCTCCATAATTCACTCTCCACTCCTATCCCACTAGAATCATTCCTTACAAAAAAGGAAAACACATCAACATGTTAGCAATATCTGAAAGTATATTCCTTATTTTGCACCTATAGTCTACTACCTTTCTCCTGAGAGGAATCATTCCTTGGGACTTATGATTGGATATTGAATTGATCAGCGTTCTGAATTTTTTCAGTGAGATACATTTATTCATGATCTAGAAAATGGAATCATTTACACAAGAAGCAATCTGTTCTAATTTTACCAAAGCTATTTTACTAAAAGTCTATTTAGGGGCTTAGATGAACTCAACAAGGATCTAATAAAGTCGGGTAATTGAGCTACATAAAGGCAAATAAAATTCAAAGGAGACAGTGTCATAGATAAACTGTTGTGTAAGGCGGTATGGATGATAATTTGAACTAATTGTGCACAATGATGCAAATTAACTTCTCTGGAAGAGAGATTGAAGCATCATTTTTGGATAGCTCACTGAAGATGTCTACTGCGTACAGAGCAGCTGTCAAAAAATATTTTTAAAAGGCCCTTATGAATAGCAGGTTGGGCATGCTTAAGAAGAGAAATGACAAATATGCCAAAGATAGAATAGATGGGATATATATCCAAGTTGCATCTTCATCTGGAAAACTTCGTTCACTCTTGCTCACTTATTTCAAAAGGAGGTGTAATCAAAGAGAGAATTATAGGGAATAGAAGCAGAAAAATGAAATATGGGGGGGGTGAGAATAGCCAGACATACACAGAAAGATTCAAAACAGTGGGATCATATGGTAGAGAGACAATACTGTTTGGAAGAAGTGGACTAAGAGTCATATCCAGTGATATGCTAGTAAATATTTAACAGCCAGGTCAGGGAGAGGGAGAGAAAGTGCAGTGAAGAGAAATTTGATCTAAATTATTAACATTTTGCCCCACCAGTTTCTTAAGTCTAGACAATCAACAACAAAAAAATAAATCAAGTCATGATTCATAGCATTTGCCAATTTTCTAGGTGTAAATGTTCAAACTGGAAATTTAACAATTGGCTTTTGTGAACCTGAATGAACAGGATCGGGAACGCCTCTACCTATGTCTATAAAGTAATGAATTCCTTTGTTGTTTGTATTCAGTTGTTTCAGACTCTTCGTGGCCCCATTTAAAGTTTTCTTGGCAAACATACAGGGAGTAGTTTGCAGTTTCCTTCTCTAGCTGTTTTATATGTCAACCCTAGGTAGCCAGAGTAAGTGTATGTAGAATTAAATGCCCCAACATTAAAAAAAAAGTTTATAAGTTTATAGTTAAATTACTAAGGGCTTATCATGAGATAGAGTAGCGAATCATTACTTAATCTATCATTTATTAATTTATTGCAAATATTTTTTCTCTTCCATTCAAGTCCTCCTTGGACACCTTTTAGTGGCACAGAGTTAAATATAGGTTTTCAGAGGTTGTTCCAATGGAGTGCAGGCTTTGGTGGGTTTGTGTGTGGTGGATTCATGTGTTTGGGATCTGAGGACCAGATGTGAAGTATGTAGTAGTTTTCAAGTTTCAAGTAGGTTTCAAGAGGCTCATCAAAGAAGAATTAACCATTAATTAATTGGTTTGTTTATTTGTTCATCCATCCATCCATCCATCCATCCATCCATCCATCCATCCATCCATCAATGCATTTAGCTATTTTGCCACAGCGATTCATGAAACAATCTCCCAAGAAATGTTGGAGAGTATCAATTTGGGTGGATGGAGGGACGAACTATAGATCTGTGAAGTATATCCTTTTCAGTGATAAGTTGGTTTGCATCTCTTTCTTTAGTATCTTCATGTTAGTTGAACTAATTTGGACTAAATTTTTCATTTTTTAAATGTTTGGAAAACAACTTTTGTAAAATAAATTGATTTTGTTTTCAATGTGCCAAAACCCATTTTGAAGTTGAATGTGTAAACTTACTGATTTCATGTGTTTGGGAGATGTGGGGAGAAATTATGCTTTTAGGCAAATATATTGGAAGCTTTTTTAAGTCTTGTCTTTGCTTTCTATTTTTTTCCTTTGTAGGATGATTATTTCAGAAACTGGAATCCAAACAAGCCCTTTGATCAAGGTAAGGGTGACAATATCACACACTGGATGTTAAAATGTTACTACTTATACCCTTTAGTCTCTGTATAGGTGATGACTATGTACTTTTAGTCTGACTCCAAAAATACCTCTTATCTTCACCCCTTAAAGATAGGCAATCAGTGTGACTGAAAGCTTTTTACTAATTGATTCATGTTTTCTCTGAGGTTATTCAACAATATTCATTTAATTGACCAATCTGGTTAAAGTAGTTAAAATATTCTCCCAAATTAGTCAATTCTTAGATTATTTGTAGTTTGTATGGGATTTGATTTTCAGCTCTTTCATATACAAAATTCTCAGCTTTTTCAGATAAAACTTTTCTTCCTCAAAAAGGCTATAATCTCTTTGATGACAGAGACTGCAGAGACTATATTATTTTACATCTATATGTCCTCAGTATTCTCTACCTTCACATTGTGAGGAATTAATAAATGTTTATTGAATTGAATTGGCTTGAGAAATGGAGCAAACAGATATACCCATTTCACTTCAACCTTCTCGCTTCCTTAGTGAGCTTGGGAGATTGAAGCACCCACCCTCTCGGAGAAAAGGGATCAATTGGGATAGCCAATATTCCTAGTTGTGGCTATTATATGTAATAGATCAAGTATGTTTCTGTTGATGTTAATATAAACAATATTCTGCATCTTTTGAAGAACATAAAATATATATCATGTATAACAAATAAATATGTATTAGTATAACAAAGTCCATGACTTCTGGGTGGCAGCTTTAGTTTGTAGCATCGTATCTAGCTACTTTTGTATTTATTTATATTTATTCTCTTAATATTTGTTCATTCTGTATATGCTAATAAATATAGTTGCTGCCTCCATCATTTCAATATAAGCTCTTTGAAGGGAAGGATTGCTTCAATCTTTGTATTTGTATCCCCAGTACCTAGCACAGTGACTGGCACATAATGGACACTTAATAAGCCTTTTTGATTGGTTGATTAATCACAAATTGAGTACTAGTTGGTTATCAAGAACAACCTCATAATTTTACAGTTGAGGAAATTGAGGCACAGGAAGTGCTTAAGTTACTCGTTCACTGCCATGTAGTTCTGTAAGTGGAGCATTTCATGCAAATATGGTGTCCATGTAGATATATAATGGCTAAAGAAAATGTTTGGCATTTAAAAAAGTAAGCATAGCTCTATTCCTAATCTCTGCTCTCTTTGTCTGATCATTACAAGCTGTTGTCCCTGGCTTTTGTTTTCCCTATAAACAAAATTGATGTTCTAGATTCAGTATATCCATTAAGTAATACAATAGTGTTTATTTGTTGAAATACATTTAATATATTAAATTATTTAGTTTATTATGTATTCATTATTTAATTTATTAAATTTCACTATATGCTGGATAAAAAGAAAAGAAAAAATGGAAAAAAAAATTAACAGTGTAGATGATTCTACCTGCCATTTCCTCAATGAATGTGAGAGGAGGGATCTGAATCTGCCTACTATTGCTTCGGTTAGTCTTGGTGTCAATGTGCCTTTCATAGTAGAATATGTTAGCGTGCTGTGTGTGATTCTGGAATCTCTTCTTCATTGTATCTATAGTTAGTCTGTTGATTGTTTAAGTTGGTAGAGTTAATGAGACATAGCTTTAGTTAGATTTTTAAAAAATCATTCATCATCATCTAGAGGGCCTTGTTGTGTTACATTTGACATCCTTGGGTTCTCTCTTGGTTCATGGTGGAACAAGAAGAGAAAACAGTCATGTAGCAATGTGATTGCTCACTAATATAGGAATACTTAAATGTGACTATTTTCTTTTAATCATTAATTTTCCTTCCAGATAAGTATTTATGTGTTTATGTTTTCTTCTATTTTAATGGAAGTCTAGGTTCTAGCCTTTAAATACATATGTATGAATGTATGTGTATGTGTGTGTATATAAATTTTTCCCCCAATTACATGTAAAAACATTTTTTAAACATTTCTTGTTCTTTTTTTAAGTTTTGAATTCCAAATTCCATTCCTCCTATCCCCCCTACCCCCGAGATGGTAAGCAATCTGATATAGGTTGTATGTGTGCAATCATATAAAATATTTCCATATTAGTCATTTTGTGAAAAAAGACTCAAACAAGAAAGAAAGGAAAGAGGGAAGAGAAGAAGGAAGAAAAGAAAGGAAGGAAGAAACAAGCAAACAAAGAGAAAATAGTATGCTTCAGCCTGTATTCAGATAATATCAAGTTCTTTATATGGAGGCAGATGGCATTTTTCATCATGAGTCCTTTGGGATTGTCTTGGATGATTGTATTACTGAGAATAGTAAGCCATTCACAGTTCTTCATTATATAATATTGCTGTGATTGTATACAGTGCTCTTCTGGTTCTGCTAATTTCACTTTCTATCAGTTCATGTAAGTCTTTCTAAATTTTTCTGAAATCATCCTGCTTGTCATTTCTTATAGCATGATAATATTCCAGTACAATCATATACCACAGCTTGTCCAGCCATTCCCTAATTGATGGGCATCCCACTGATTTCCAATCCGTAGCCACCACAAAAAGAGCTACTATAAATATTTTTGTACAAATAATTCTCCCTCCCCCACTTTTTAAATCTCTTTTGGAATACAGACCAAGCAGTAGTATTGCTGGATCAAAGGGTATGCACAGTTTTAATGCCCTTTGGGAACAGTTCCAAATTGTTCTCTAGAATGGTAGACTCCAGCCTTATAAAACTTGCATTTTATGTTTCGATATCAACTATTTGTTCTCTGATACAAACTGATTTCTTTCAAAATAACATGGTTTATCAACTCAATTCATAAAGAAAAAGTTAACTGAATAAAAAAAGGAAAAAAAAGGTTGTAGCATAATAGTAGGAGTTAATGTTCCTCTTTCAGAGATGGGCAAATCTAACAGAAAGAGAAAGAAGGACAACATAGAAATAAATAAACTGTTCAAAAATTTAGAACTAAAAGATTCATGGTATCTTCTGAATAGGATTATAATATATGAATTTCTGTGAGATACATATCAACTTTACAAAAATAGCTCATGTAGCAAAAACTGTGCATATTATTTCTTGCTATTAGAATTTAGAATTAGAATCCTTGTAAACCAGGATTGTCTTACTTTTTAGTTTGTGTCATCTTTTTTTTAACATAGTGCTTTGCTAAGTACAAGCTTAAGAAATAAATACTTTTTCATTCATTCACATTCTAGGGTGCAGAAAAATTATGAATAAACATAAAAACATAAATAGTAAACACATGCTTTTCAGGTGAAAATGCAGTGAAAATGTAATCAACACAGGGAATGCAAGCAAAAGACACAGTCCTAAAAGCATATGTAATGACAAAATCCTGAACAATTAACAAAAAATAAAGAACAAATCATAGGAATAATTAATAACTATGTAAAAGACAATGATAATGATTAGAGAAAATACCTTGATTCATGCATTGCAGAAAGCAATCCTCAGATGAAAAACTATATGCCTAAAACTACATATTAACAAAATAGAAAAGAAAGGCTCAATAAACAGAATAAGGATTTAAAAATTAAAAAAAGAAATAAATCAAAACCCAAATAAACCAAAAAAAGAAAATGTAGAAAATTATTGGAGAATTATATTAAGTAAAAACAAAAAAGACTAGAGAACTGATAAATAGGATTGAAAGTTAGTATTTTAGAATGACTAATAAAATTGATAAAACTTTAAACAATCTAATTAAAAAGGCAGGTAGGTGGCACAGTGAATAGAGTGCCAGGGCTGAAGTTAGGAAGACTAATCTTCCTGAGTTCAAATCTGACCTCAAACACTTAGTAGCTGTGTAACTCTGGGCAAGTCACAACCCTGTTTACCTCAGGTAGAATCTATAGAATGAGCTGGAGAGGGAAGTGGCAAAAGATTCCACTATCTATCAGGAAAACCCCAAATGGGGTCACAGAGTTAGACATGGCTAAAATGACTGAATAACAGCAAATGAACAAGAGGAAAATAAAAAAAGAAAATTTTAAAATTATAGTTTACTATATACTATATACAACACATATAAATATGTTACCTGTCTTTATATATTATTATACCTAGTATATGCCAACCAGACTTCCAAAAAAGTATTATCTACTTATGATAATATAATATAATATATTATATGATACTACTAATTATAAAGTACCCAAACTAACACAATACTGAAATAATGTGATTTCAGTAAAGGAAAATGAACCAGCTGTAAAGAAAATATCAAAGTAGAGAGAAAACCAAAAACAAAACTAACTCTCTTCCAGGTAGAATTACAGAAAAATTATATCAAACTATTAAAGGACAATATTTACTAATACTTAAACCAAGAAAGGATATAGTAAAGAAAAAGAACTATAGAACAATATCAATAATAAAAATAAATTCAAAAATTTTAAATAAAATTCTGGAGGAAAGAGTAAAGTAATTTATTTATGGGGAGAAAAACTTTCACTATGGTCAAGTTTGATTCACACCAGGGATGTAAGGATAGTTTAGTATTAGAAAACAATTAACATAATTAATTATATTAAAAACAAAAGCATCCAAAATCATACAATCATGTCAGTAGATACAAAAATGCCTTTAACAAATTAAAACACTCATTTATGCTAAAAAAAACCCCCACAAGGCATATGCATAAAAGGATATTTTTAATCTGATTAAAATATATGTAAAACCAAAAACTGGCATTAGAAGTAATGGGGAAAAAACTAGAAGATTTCCCAGTAAATTCAAGATTGATATGAAGATACTTCCTGTCCTTAATGTTACTTGACACAGCTCTAGAAATGCTAGCAGAAGCAGTGAGACAAAAGAAAGAAACTAAAGGCATAAACATAAGCATTGAGTAAACAAAAGTATCCCTATTTGTGGGCAAAATGTTGATTTACTTAGAAAATCTTAAAGAATTGGCAGAGAAACTAATTGAGACAAAAGCTTTAGTAAAATGGTAGATTGTAAAATAAAACATAAAAATCAAACATATT